TCAAACACAAAAGGACAAATATTGTATGAGACCATTGTTATGAAAAAAAGAAGAAAAATCAAGAAAAGTTTTCATAACAAAAGAAACTGATTTTGGTGAATAATGGGGATGTCAGGGGAAGGAATGAAAGAGGAAGCAGTAGGCGAAAGGGTAAAGTGATGTTAGCATACCTGACAGTGAAGATAGTCTACTCTGGGGAGATGGGAGGGTAAAGGGTGGAGCAGGTGGGGGAGACAGGTCAAGCCACTAGGAAGATTGATAAATTGCTAACATTTTTGAATGCAAAGCTGACGATCTGATAGGTAAACCCCTGCCAAATTCACAATAAAGAGTATAGAAAAACAAAGTGCCATACCATTTCATACAGTGGTTTAGCCTATTTAAAATGAACAATCTAGCATGTGTATTTTTTCATATTATTTGTTAGACACTTTAATAATACCATTATTATTTTTTTAATGGGAAAAGAGAAAAAACAAACAAACTGGAAAAGTAATGCATCTAGTGGACATGAAATAGTTTCCTCCTGGGTTTTTGACATCTTTCCAATTTTCTTCTTTCTTTTTTTGAGAAAAATGACAATATTGGAGGACAAGGATCAAAGACTCTTCTTGTTGTCTATGTCCTCAAAAATCAAAGCCAATTTCCGTCGTCAGAGTTTTCAGAATGCTCTTTTTAATACAAGGGTAACTAAGTGTGAGGTCTGTTTTTTCTTGGTGGACTGAAAGCGACATAACGGAGCAATAACCAGGTGTTAGATGTCAACCTCAGGGGATTGCTAACTCCCCAACTTCCTCCCCTAACTCCACTTATCCTCGGTCAAATTTCTTTCTTCCTAATTCTATTGTTCTGTGTCTTAATATTTTTTTTGTATAAGAAATAACTTTATATTCAAGAGCAGCTGAATATTGAGAAAACAACACAGCCCAGTCCAGATCAAGTCCATAAGTCCGATATTAGCCCATATGTCCGATACCAATCTATAAAGTCCACTTCAGACTCACGGAACACATGCAATGATGCTGAATGCAGGAAGATCATAGGCCAGTGGATGGGAAGTCTTATGGATCCACTGGCGTTGTAAGCATCTCAGCTCTGGTAGGGGTCTCCATATGGCTTCTCCGGCTCCAGAGATCTGGCTCCATCAGCCTCTTTCCATGTGTCTTCTTCACATGGATGTCTCACAGGGAGTGGGCATGTGTCCTGCCTCCAGCAAACTATCTATCTCCTTAGCACCTCCAAATGAGGTCATCAAGCTACTACCTAATTGACAGGCTAGACTCCACCCCTTCATTCATTTTTTTAAGATCATTTTATTGGGGCTCATACAATTCATCACAATCCATACATACATCAATTGTGTAAAGTACACTTATACATTTGTTGCCCTCATCATTCTCAAAATTCGTTTTCCACTTGGGTTCCTGGAATTAGCTCCTCATTTTCCTTTTCCCCCTCCCTCTCCCTCCCTGCTCTCCCCTCCCTCATGAACCCTTAATAATTTATAAATTATTATTATATCTTATCTTACACTGCCCGGCGTCTCCCTTCACCCACCCTTCTGTTGCCCATCCGCCAGAGAGGAGGTTATATGTAGATCCTTGTCGTAATATTTAAACTCTGTCTACATTTATATTATTCCACGACCGTTGGGACTATGCAGACTTTACCCATCCATTCTGGGTCAGAGTAATCTTACACAGGGCAGCATGGAATTGCTCCCTAGAGTTTCTGAGGCTGTAAATCTATTTTTTTCTTCTTCTTTTAATGAACTTGCTTGGCACTGAAGATTCCAAGTACATTCCAGTTTTACTTTTCCTTCTTTTTTAAGCCACTCGGACCAATGTTTAGATTTGAGGGGTGAGGAATCCGGACAGAACTTTTTATTTTTAAAGAAACACACTGTATATATGTATATAGCCCATATCAAGAAACGAAATCAGCAACAATATATTGTTAAACCTTCCATATATATGAATTACTTTCTCCCCTCACTCCCTTTTTCTCCCCTCCCTCCTCAATATCCTATTCTTCACCACTTCCTGTTTCTAACCCTCCCGCTTTACCATTTCTGGCCTCCTCCTAGTCATTAGTCTTGTCTTTTGGTGTACAAATCACATTTCTTTTTCTTTATAATGATGATGTTATTAAAAATATTTATCGTTGTAAGATTGACTAAGTTTGCTAAGCATACTGTTCTCTAAGAGCCTACAAGCATGTACAGGGGTAGAAAGTCTCATCTTTCTCTGGAGGAATGATGGATTTGCTGACCTTGAGCCTTCAAGTCCACTGCATAACCAACAAGGCTAGCTTATCTGTAGTAATTAAACTGTGAACAAAAGGACATACAATTTGCAAAGAGGGCAATCAATTGACTTTAATGATATGCCATATAGAATTCTTTAATCATTTACATCCTCTTAGTATCTTAATAATAACTCTGTGCCAAGCCCTTTACTATATTTTTATCCCATAGAAGTTCACTCAGTGTTATTCAGATACACGAAGATAAAAAATGGGGAATCCTTGCCCTTTGGGAGTGTACATTTTAGTAGAGAATATAGATATAAACCAAAGGAAACGTATACTATCAGAATAAAATAGCTATTGGGATATAAAGAACTCCTCATAATTTAGATACTTTCAAGAATACAAGTGGATAATTGTGCTATGAGACAGCTCATTAGGACTACGCAAGAGAAAACAGGGTATCTTTCCTGTGGTTCGATGGAAGAAACTCTTGTCTTATCTGCTTGTGAGAATCAGGGGACTTTCTGGTAAGAAGGAGACCAATGTGATGGGCTTTGGTAGCAGTCTGGGTTTCTTATGATGCAAATTTTAAGACAGTCATAACTTCAAAGTGTTTATACGGTAAAGTATTTATTATATTCCATAACAGAAAACCAAAGGATATCTCAAGGCTCATAAAATGATCAAGTATGCATGGCTTTGCTTGTTTGTTTGTTTTTGGTGACTTCCTTTCCATCTTCTTTGTAGTTGTTGTTAATGTTGGGAACTCTAGGTATCATACTCAATTCACCTGAACATTCCGTTTTCAAGATGCAGAAACATGATGTCTATGTTTATTTTCCTCTTTAAGGGTAAGGTATTTCTCAGAAGCCGTGTTTTAGCTTCATTTTCATTTTACAGAACTGGGTTGTCTCCCTAGTTCTATATCACCAGTGGCAAAGTGAAGTGAGATTACTATATTAGTCTGAAAAAAAAAGAAAGCTCTCTCTGGTCCTGAAACTCCAGATCGTGCTACTGAATGACAGTTAACTATAAAATGCAGGTGTACTTATCAGAAAAGAAGGGAGAAGGAGTTGTTATATAGGCAATTCTATTACTCAACATCCTGACAGTAAACAGATTATAAATTCTTTTTAAACACGTTTTATTGTCAGTTAGATGCAATTTACATTTTGTCTCATCGACTTTATCTTTAACAGTCCAGGTGATGTCAAACCCTCCCGTGATCCTCTACCCAGTCCCCCCTCTCCTCCTACCTCCCACCCCTCAGAGGTAATCATCCTTTCAGAATGTTCATTTCATTAAGTTCAATAATTTCAGTTGATCCTTAGTTTCTCTGATTCTTTCTTATGCTACTTGAAGAGTACTGTTAAGCCCCTCAGGAACTGGAACAATAGTATTTTCCAATTTGAGACTGTTTTTCTTCATCAGTTCATCATTGCTGAGAATCCTTATTTATTTATTTATTTATTTATAATGAGTATTTTTTAGACAATTTATTAGTATAGCTATAAAAGCAACTTGAAAATTCTTGTCTGCTATCATCTTACTTATTTCAGGATCAATCTTCCTTGATTACCTTTTTGGCTGAGTAGGTCTAATGATTTTGTGTTATCTAATGATTTTGAATATCACCAATAATACATTGTGGAAACTCTGGGTTTGGTTATTTTTCTGTGAAATTGTGTGGCTATACATTTCTGTGCAAAAATGCATCTCCAAAAATAGTCACTTAAAAATTTTATTTTCTACTCACCTTGAAATTTCGGTTGGGCTTGGTAGGGACAGATTGTCTCCTCTCTACTCGATCCCAGCCAGTGGAGCGTGACGTTTGGACATTGGATTCATCTAGAGCTGAGTCATGTCTGCTGGTGGAACGCTGTGAGGTCTGCAACCTTAATTAGGGAAATGACTGCAACATCTCTATATGCCATCACCACAGTGTGACGGCATGGTTACTAAGATGATGATGAGGAGGAGGAGAAAGAAGATCTGCAGATAGAAGCTGTATCACTTTTATGACCAGCTTGGAAGTCAAGTACTATTGAAGTATGATGGAAAGCATTTGGAAAAAAATGTTTTTAGAACACTTTAAGAACAAGTATGGTATTATGTGATTTATATGTTAAAACAATATTCTGATGACTGTGTAGGCAATGGACTGTAAGAAAAAAAGTGGGAGCAGGGATGATTAATTAGAAAATCCTTATAATGGTGTAAAGAAGATAATGGTTTGAACTACGATAGTAGCAATTGAAGCGGTCAGATTCCCATGAAATATAAAGATAGGGTTGACATTATTTGCTTGTGGGTAGGATGTGAGTGTATGATGTTGCCACTTCCTGAGATAGAGAAGACTTTAGGATAAGTAGTTTGGTGATAGGGCCACAAGAGTTCTGTTCTGTGTATGTGGAATTTGAAATGCTTATTACTCTACGAATTAGGGCTAAAGATAAACATATGCATCATTATTTTGTAAATTTATAAATTTCCATATTTATCAATATTCAACTCTATATAGTCCACAGATTATTTCTATGAATAACTCGATTAGGTAAATCCTTTTAAACTACTGCAGTCATAGTTCTGGTGCCCAGGGTAGGAAACAACTGATATCTGATAAATTTTAGGGGAGTGCTATTTTAACTGGTTGTGTGTATTAATGTGTAAATCAGCTTCATACCCATATTCTACAAAAAGACAATGTATATTAGAAATAACAGGGTAAACATTATACAAATAAGCAAAACTCAGTGATTCAAAATAATAATAATCTGAGATGGAGCACAGAGTGTAGTCATGAAAAATCCAACATCATTCTGGGGCAAAAAGGAGAACAAAAAATAGAATCAGGTAAATGTTCCTCGGAAATAATTGTAGCAATGACTGGGGTGTTTGAAATCATGCAGAGCAGCAGTTTATAATTTAGTGATTAAAGGGAAAGAGTGCTCCTAAAGGCTGGAGATTATTTTGTAGATCAGTGCATTATTTTCCATATTTATAGTGAGCTACAAAACCACTCAGATAACATATCCTGATAATTATTATTTTTCCTCAAAGTAAAAGTGGAGGAAGTGGAGAAAATGAATTGTTCAGAATGATATGAGGATATTCTTCGTTGAACTGAATGGAAGCTCATTTTTGGCTTTAGACGCACACAATCTCCCTTGACACTTGGTTCCATGACTTCTTTTATGAATGCAAAAGAACTCATTTTGTCCCTCAGTGAGAATAGCACAGATCTCAAGGCTTCTTATGTTTTCCATAGATGTAGATGGGTGCTTAGGACTTTCTTCACAGCCTCTTTTACCTCCTTATTCCTCAGGCTGTAGATGATGGGGTTTAACATTGGGGACACCACTCCATAAGACAACACAATGATCTCATCAGAGGTCTTTGTGTCTTTTGACTTGGGCTTCATGTACATAAAAAGGGCTGAACCATAGAATAAGATGACCACAGTCAGGTGAGCCGAACAGGTAGAAAAGGCCTTCTTTCTGCCCTCAGCTGAATTAATTCTCAGTATGGAGGAGAGAATAAAAACATAAGAGATAAAAATTAACAGCAGAGGAAGCATCAATAAAACAACACTTGCCAGTGTCATGATGAGCACATTGATGGTGATATCTGAGCAGACAAGTTTAAGGAGAGCCAGGACCTCACAGGTGAGATGGTCAATGACATTCCCACAGAAAGGCAACACCATCGTCATGGTTGTTTGCACTAAGGCAATTAAAGTGCCTATGATCCAGGACCAGGCGGCCATGTGCCCACAGAGTATCCGGTTCATGATGATGGGGTATCTCAGTGGGTTGCAGATGGCCATGTACCTGTCATAGGCCATCATAGCAAGGACACATTCTGTGGAGCCCAAAGAAAGTGAGATAACCATCTCCAGGGCACAGCCAATGAAAGAGATGGTTTTTCTCTCAGACAGAAACATGACAAGCATCAAAGGGATCCACGATGTTGTGTAACAGATGTCCAAGAATGAGAGGTTCCCAAGGAAAAAGTACATAGGGGTGTGGAGTCGGGAGTCCAGGATGATGATGACAATGAGCAAGCTGTTTCCCAAGAGAATTATCAGGTACATGATGAGGCAGAGCAGGCTCAGAGAAAGCCTTAGTTTTGGGTATTGGGAAAGTCCCACCAAAAGGAATTCAGTCACAGCAGAGTAATTGCCCACCTCCATGTGTCCATGTCACCTGCAGAGTTTAGATGGGGACATGACCAAGGGAAATTTGCATTTACTGTGAAGATTCACAGGAATGTTCACTTTCAAGATTTTCTTTGATTCTTAGGACAATCCTGAGAATCTGGGAAAGCAGAGGTTTTATACTAATTTACTCATGGTGAATGCATGCCACAGAGAGATTCCATACTACTAGAATCACATGGTAGTAGAGACAAATCTACTAATGCCCTGAGAATTCTTCTGGGAAGTGTCAAATAGAAGTTAAAGAAAACTACTTTCAAAAGGGTATATGTAAGGATGCTTTTATTAATGAATATGTTGCAATTAAAGGTGCTTTCTAATGAAGCTAATTCTGTTAAAAAATTATAGACTTTAAATGCAAATCCCCACCCAAATTCACAATAAAACAAAATACCAAAAATATTTATATACCTAACAACATATTATTTAACTTGGGTATGTCTTTGGTAAATTGTTCACGTTTTTTAAGTCTTAGCTAGCTTATAATAAAATGAGTAAAAGCTATAATTATTTAGCTATATAACTAATTATCTCTGTCATGATAACAAAATAAAAACCTGTTTGATATCTCACATAGTAGGTGGTTTCAACATGACATATATATGGTATATATTTGTTGTTTTATACATAATAAAATACTATTAAATAGATATTTATGTATACATGCATTTAATCATGTGTCACTTTAAGGCTTATGTAATTATCTCAGAAGAAAAAAAGAAGGGCTAAAAGACTGAGCTCACTATGGATGGGAAGTGAACAGCCCTCCCCCATTGATGCCTTCTATCTGGTCCTCTTTCAAAAACCATTTGAGTGTGGAATGTCATGTAAGAATGTTCCCGGGTGCTTTCAGGATCTGAGGCCCCTTCGTTCCATCATGTGTAAACATTTCCAATGCCCAGGATGCTCCTTTCCCAAGTATAGGTAGTGTCGAACTGCCTTTCATCATGTAATGTGTACTTCTTAAATCACTTGAAATTCTTGAGTATTTGTCTACCACTAACTATGATATGCATAGTTTCAGGTAATATCATTTTAGTATATGAATTGTTGACATAGATCTATCAGTAAAGAAGGAGACTTGGTGGTGTTAGGGGTCACCCTTCAGGCTGTGATGCGCAAGGTGAGCAGTTGGAAACCATCAGCCGCTCTGTAGGAGACAGACGGGCTTTCTCCTCCCGTCAAGAGTCACAGTCTTGGGGACTCACAGGTGCTTTCTACCCTCTTCTATAGGATCGTTGTGAGCTGGCATCGACTTGATGGCTCTGTGTTAGTTATCAATACGTAATATGTACATATATATATATATATCGCATATTTGAGGAGTCCTCATCCTACCACTCAAGATACATTATATATAGTTAGTATATATAGATTTTACATAGTTTAGTATATATTTTAGTATAGTATATTAATAGTATAGATTTTATAAATATGTTTAAAATAACCTATACCAATAAATAGCACATAAATTATATATTAATAAGTAACATATAAAATGACCTTAAACTAAAATAGACTTATCTCCAACTGTCAAATAGGGTCTCTATGAGTTTGAATTAGCTCGACACCAATGAAGATTTTGTTTTGGTTGTTGTTGTTGTTGCTGTTGTTAATTTAGTGCCATTTAATGGTCTGACTACAAACAACCTCACAAATATATCTAATTTGAGTAAACACACCCACATGATCTTAATTCTTGCACATCAACTTTAGAGTTCACTCTTTAGAATGTGGTCAAGATTGACAGTATAAATAGGACACAATATAAACATCCAAGTATATCATATAGAAAAAACCACCAAAGAGAATGGGAATACCTTATGGTGAGGAGGAGGGTGGGGAAATAGTGATTTTGTTGTATCTGTGCCTTTATTTCTGTCCAAGAGGTCAAATTCCAGTGTCCTGGCTCTCTAATTCTGGTCAGTTTCTCTCCACAGTGTCATTCCTTAGCTTCATGCTCATCTTTGGGCATTACCTATAGACGGAAAACAAATTCTGCCTGAGGACAATATTTTATGAAATATTCCTTCCTTTTCCCCCTATATTTACTAATAAGAAAGTAGTAATTTGTAAATCACACATCCTCAACCAGATTCACTGATTTTAACCCAAGGGATATATGCCCCAAATAACTCAGAAAAAATTTGACCAAATGTAATCATTGCGTCGTATTTCCTGCCGTGGTTAGTTCCCCCTAATGTTTATAGATAACGTTATTCTTCACAGCATCAATCATCCTGTAAGGGAGATCCATCCCTTGTTCTTGCCCAAATAAATGAGCCCTTTTGAGTCCCATCACTGCCATTGAGCCAATCTTGACTCATAGCAAACCTATAGGCAGAGGAGACCGACCCTGGGGGTTTCCAAAACTAAGTCTTTATGGCAGCAGAAACCTCATTGTTATTCCTTGTTACCCACTCCACCATCAGACCTAAAAGAGCTGAAAATGAGCAATAGAGCTCGAGGTAGACAAAGTCCTTTTTTTTAAGATCACTTTATTGCGGGCTTTTACAACTCTTATAACCAGCCATACATCACTTGTGTCAAGCATATTGTACATATGTTGCCATCATTATTTTCTAAACATTTACTATTTGAGCCCTTGGTGTCAGCTCCTCTTTTTCCCCCTCTGTCCTCCACTCTCCCACCCTCGCAACCCCTTGATAAATTATTATTTTCATTGCTTACACTGACTGCTTTCTCCCTTCATCCAAATATCTGTTGTTCATCCACTTGGGGGTGGAGGTGGGGGTGGGTGTCATGTAATGCATAGACCAAGTCTTCTTGATCTTTTCTTATATGGTTTTGAGAGTTATGCTGTATTTTGTCACCCATCTTTCTGCATGGAAACCAAGAACAATTCTTTGTGGTAGAGAACTTACGTCTCCACAGCTGGCTTACTGCTAGGATTGATTTGCCCAGTCGTCTTCTCTATGCACTATCTCTACAATGCAGTAGCCTGTGTGTCTCTCTGGAAGCCTACTGTGCCTCAATTCTCTCACCCCTTTGTTCCCTTTGACTGCTGTTACAGCTATGAGAAGTACTATCTATATCTTATTGGAGATATTATATCTTACTATATCTTTATTTAGAGTCAGAGAATGTAGTGTTGCCTCTATGTTGTATAAACCTAAAGGAAGACTTTTAATTTAGCTGAGTGTGATATGCCTTATATAAAACATACGCCCCTAGGCTGGCATTCTCTTATTTCTAATGATAGGAAGAATAATTTCTATTAAATGGTATATCCAGGGTATTTAATTCATGCAATCGTTTATGAGTTTTTCATTGTTTTATTCATAACTTTTAAAATAAAATAAATTACTCAAAACTCCTAGTTCCTCTCTACTCTTTATCTTCAGAAAACTCTTCTTCCCAATTTCACCCTTTGTTACTATTCAGTTAGCAGTAGGGTATCTTGAAATCCTCTACTTACAATAGATAACAGGACATAGTGAGACACAGTTTTCAAAACAAAGAAGACAGGCTTCATTCTTTTCATCAGTATTTCCATAACTATGTGGGTCCATATACTGATGTGGTTTAGCTGATTTGCCTCAATCATTTGAATTCTTCGTTTTCTTTCCTTAGACTGCCATGCTTTAGAACCCACAGTCAGCATCCCATAATCCTAGAAAACTACTAGTAGTGGTGAGTGAGACAGACTCAAATAAAGTTTTTATCCCCAATAGAAATTCGTACCTTAAATTTACATCAGTAGTAAATCAATTTGCCAAATAAATATACTCTGACCTCTGGGTCCTAAAAATTTCCAGAGGACCTGCGGTGGCACCGGTAGCCAATTTAAATCTCTCTTTTTTCTTGTTTTCTCTTCTGAGAGATTATGTAATCCCAGATGTGATTTAAAGTTGAATCTCTAAGTAATGCAGAAAGCCAAAATATTTGGAAACTTTAGTAGTTAAGTTTCAAAGACCTAATCTTATTTATAAAACAGTATTTTTTCTTTCATTTTTTAATTGTTTTCCCCTGATTATATAAATATCATAGAAATTTTGAGAAATAAAATAACCCAACTGAAGAGATATAGAGATACATTAATATTTGATATATTTGTATGCATATACTACACATGCCCATTTGAAAGCACCTTCATTTCTTGATTTATTGTTTAGTATCTTCTTCACTTTTGATTTTATAACTTGCACATTTCATTCATATTCTTTGCTTTATCTTCTAGAACTGCCCTTTGAAATCTTCTGTTCAGTTTTTTAATAATTTTATTTCTTTCATTTTAATATCTTTGTGTTTTAGAGCAAGTTTCAGAGTCTCTTCATAAATTCATATGGTTGTCTTTATTTTTATTTTTTATAAAATGCCTTTTTGGTTTGTTTAAATTTGATATCCTTCATATCATTTCATAACTTCCCTGGTTTTCGGTCATTAGTGTTCTGTGTGTCAAATCCAGTTTTCAAATGGTTTTTAAATTCAGGTGGAATATACTCAAAGTTGCATGTTGGCCATCGTGTACTTGTTTTAAATTTTTTCCACTTCAACTTGAACTTGTCATGACTGATTGATTCATTGATGGTTTGTGATGTTATTGGCGCCTGTATATATATGAGGGGGTACTCCCCCATCCTCCCCCCCAAAAAAAAAACCAGAAAAAGCTCCTCTGGGCAGAGCTTTCATAGTACACAGTTTTCCTACTAGGCAAGCATCGAGCAACTCTCTCTGAGTTAGTGCACCCAGGGGTGTCACCTGGAAAGTTCTCTCTGGTCATCGTGAATTTTTTTGTAAAAGTATTTTCACTTGAACTTTGTTTTTTGTGTTGGCCAATTTAAGAGAACAGTGTATGAGTATGAAATTTTGTTTCCTGCTTAGGAAAAATGTCACAGAAACTGTTGTGATGTTGAACACAGTTTATAAGGACAGCGCTACGGGAAAAACTCAAGTGTATGAGTATTTTTCTTGTTTTAAAAAAGGTGAAATGTTGATTGATGACAAACCTCCTG